GCCCCACTGCCGGCCGCTCTCCCCGCCCGTTCCGGGTGGCAGGTGCCGGAGTGCTCTTCTTGCTCTCCTTGGTACGCCGTCGACTCCTGAGGGACGCCGGGGTTTTACTCGGAACGAGAAAAGAGGGTTTGCGCTTAAAAAAAAACAGAGCCCAACCGCTTCTGTTGGTGTCTGGGAGTTCCGCCGTGAAAACACCCCCCTTGTCCCCCCGAGTCGCCCTTGGCGGGCGCGGTGTCCCCGAACAATGAGTGTGACAGCTCCGGCCGGCGCCGCCCTCCGGCAGCCCCTTGCCCAGGCGCGGGCCGGCCCTCGGGCGGACGGGCGCGGGTCGCCCAGAGCAGGGTCACATGCGAAAGTTGACGCCGTGCTGCCTTTCCAGGGCTTTTGAGTGACATTGCTTGAGTGAGGACAGCGCAGTGTTTCAAGTTCTGTAGCCGGTTTTATTCGAGGGGTTTAACAATCCCTTGTTGAAATGGAAGTTTACATTTCTTCCTGAAACAGAATATTATAAGAAATCAGTGAGAAACAAATCCGTGTTAATATTACCAGCTGTTGCACTAGAAGCCCGTTTTACTTCAATAATTTGCTTATTTATGAAAAGGTAAAGTTACGTAGGCCTCATCTTAATTTTTTTTTCATTCTAGTATTAAATCCAGTCAGTTTTAATCAGTAGAGATTCATTTGTATCAGAACTGGAGTCTCACATTGCGTGCCTGTTGAGGAATTCATTACGATGCATTATGATTAGGAGCTGGTTGTCCTTAACATTTATAATAACCTTCTTCAAACAAATTCCAAGCAATTCTCCAACAGTGAGGTGTACAGGAATTTTCTCTCACAAGTTGTGGGTATACTTAAACAGTGCCATGACAGCATAGCTGGCAATATTAGAGGCTTGTTAACATTTGGCATTATCTCTGAAGGTTTGTTTCACAATAGAGTGCCTGCCTCTCCCAAAATTCCAACGCAAGTATTCAAGTTTTACAACGTAATTATCTATAATTATATAGAATAGGATGTTTTCCTGATCACTTGACCAAGAATGGCTTTAGTGGGTTTTTTTGTTTGTTTTCTGGGGGTGAGGGTGGTGGAGATGTTGTTACAATTTTATCTTTCTGTCCTCAGAAAGTTCTTTTTTACCTGATAATAACATATCGACATGCTTTAAATTTTTAAGTTATTATAGTGCAGGTTGAGGGTTGCTTGCAGCTAAGCTTAGAGATGAAAGTACTGTGTTTTCACTTCACAGAACTGAATTTAGAATCATGACACACACCCCCACTGCATTTCTATGTTTGAGGAAAAGCGTTTCCAAGAACAGTCAGATTTGAGACTACTATAAATACAGTTCTTCACTGTCAGTCATGCTCAGTGGATCTACCTCTTGGTAATATGACAACCACTGTAGGTCACTTTTTAGCAGAAGTTTTATCTTACAAATAAAAACTTAATCCTTTACAAATTGTCTTTCTAAAAACTGCTTCCATTTCATATCACAGAATATAGTGCACTTAAAAGTGCATTTAGGAAGCTGTAAGGTACACCAGATCTGGATCGGAGAAGAAATCATCAAAAAAATTCTAGAGTACGCTCTGCTGAATCCCACAGATTCATTACTCCAGAAATTATTCCATTCATTACTCCAGAAACATTTGAGCAGTGGCTTCAGAATAATGCATTTTAATGGAAATGTTCAGATAGCTCCTTCAAACAGATTCTCTGTACAGTAGTCAGTGCTCTTTTTGCTCTTATATGGTAATACTGAGACAATGATATTCAAAATACTGGAGTGGGGGGAATTAAATCTGCCATTTGAATTTTAATTTTCAAATTTCTACTCACTGTAGTGAAATACTACTACTTATTGAGTAGAAGCAGAAATACTACTTTAAAAATAATTTTTAATATGTATATTTGAAAATTCTTCTATTATTTTGCAGCGATTTGATCACATAATAACAAGTAATGTATGACAAAAACGGGTTTCAGGGTTTTTTAAAAGTTCATTTTACACCCTGAAATTTTTCTTCTGCATAGCTTTAAAAATGCTACCAGTTGCTAAAATGATAATAATGATAAAAATTATAATCAAAATTGCCTGCACAAGTACTGCAGCATTTTTTGGGGAGACGTATGAGGGAGTTGGAATGACCTTTTTTTTTAAATGAAGCTGTGTTTTCTTCCTTGCTTCAGTAGCTAATTTGCATGTTATCAGAAGAGAGTGGTTTATAGAAATCTCTGTACATTGCTTATTTGGTGGTTGGTTGTTTTGGGGTTTGAGTTTTTTTTTAAGTAGAAAATAATTTCAAGTATTTTCAGAATAATAGAAATGAATTTTTCCTTTTTAGCCTCTTCTGAAGCAGTCACCCTGGAGCAATCAGAGCAGCGGCTGGAGCACAGGAAATATATCCTGGGGAGGAATGCATGGCAGAGACCATCGTAGAACTGGAACCATGGGAATTCCAGGAACTATGAACCAGATCTCTCCTTTGAAGAAGCCCTTTTCTGGTAATGTCATAGCTCCTCCTAAATTTACTCGCTCTACTCCATCACTGACACCAAAATCGTGGATTGAAGATAATGTTTTCCGAACTGACACCAACAGTAATACTCTCCTTCCTTTGCAGGTAAGGATGGTATACCTGCTGTGTTCATGGTCTTGCATAGCATTTTTACTTCATTCATTTCAAATGAGAACTAAAAAGTGGTTGCAGTCCTGATACTTGGTTTGAAAATTGTTTCTGTATGATTTTTAGTCTTAAATTGCAATTAATCCAATATATGATTCTCACAGTTGAATGAGAATATTGATTGTCAAAAAACATGCAAGCTGTAGGCACTGATGAAGCAATAAAACATAGTATGTTTAATCCAGCAATATTTTCTGCCTATGGTAATGCTCATATTCTTAAAAATCCCTTTCAACCTCAGGGTATTTTTTGTTTGCTTTATCCTTCTACTTATGTTTTCCTACTTTTGTAGATGGTTTTCAAGTCTTTGACATGTTTGTCTTTCACTGGTATTCTAGGCTGATATTTGTGTGTGTGTCAGCAAGATTTTTTCCTCCACATGGTAGCATCTTTTATGTTTTGTTTTGTCTGGAGGCCCTGCGATTTAGAAGTGTTAAATGGAAGGATGTATCTTAGAACTAAAGATCTGGATTCACCTTCTGAATTTTGCCAGTGACATCTCATGTGACTTTAAGTCAGTTAACTCCACCCTCAGTAATCTCTTGGTAAAATGTTCTTTTTCCCATTCTTACCTATAATAATTGAGTTGTTCCCTGTTAGCAGAGCCCCTTCATTTGTCATAGTTGTGACCGCATTTGAGCTGTATTTGCATAAATGGAAATCTAATGCTTAAGCAGCTGAACTGGAGGCAAAAGGTGCTTCTTGGGGCTGGATTTTCCTTTAGAGTTCTGGGTTTTCATGCCGTTTTTCTGGTGAATTTGGCACAGGAGGCCATGTCTGACACTATTCAGGTGCACTTGATACTTGCAGTGTTTTCGAAGCTTACCTGGTTTTTGCATGTGCCAAAGTTCTGCTGAAACACACCCTTGGACCTGATACTGTCAAGACAGATTCCATTAAATAGCCTTGCTAGCTGGAATATCGTAGTTGAATTACCTTTTGTGTGGGTAGAAAGGTTGGGGGGAAAATGTGTATTCCTCAGGAATTGTGTTCTATTAAGGAAAACAGATTACAGATAGATAATGCTTTGCAGTGCAGGGCAGCAAAAATAGTAGAAAGTAAATACTGAAATCTGTCCCAAAGATGTTAACTTGAGGAACAGATATAAAAATATTAATGCCATCATACATTGCAACTGCTGTGACATGTACACGGAAATTCATACATGGCTGAACACACAGGTTGTGAATGTATTTGCTCATCCAGTGTGCCTTACAGGTCCATGTGACCAATACTTTGAACTTTCGGGAGCTTCTACAGCAGTTTTTGAACATTGATGAACTCATTTTATGTCTAAACAGGCATCTTCTGCGTTTAGGCTATCGTCTAAATAATTCGTGCCTAATAAGCTAGGAAAGAAATCCTTGCAATTTAATTTTATAATATCTTAATGTTTGTGCGTAGGGGTTGGCGGATTTTTTTGAGGCATAATGTCAAAGTAAGAAGTTGGGCATTCTTAATTCTTGGTTACACCTATGAACACCAGACTACCAATTAAATAGGCCTGTTTGGCTATATTTATGCTGTTGGTCTGTCTATGCTTAAATCTCCCTGACATGTATAAAGTCATAGTTGCAGAACACAGTAAAAATAAATCTCTTTGAAGGGTTGCAATGTTATCTACTGCTATTGTGGAAACACTATATGTTTCCATAAATTATTTTGCTACACTGTCATGTTCTTATTTTTCAGTTAGTACACTATTGTTATATGATTAATTCCTTGTGATGACTGTTACGTTTTGCAAGTCATAATGAAAAAGTTAAATGGAGCTTAGAGCTCGTGCTTCTTTTCATCAGGACTTGTTGGCAATTGCAATGCTGTCAAACACCCATCTTGCTGATTTGTACTGTGCTTGTCTCCTTCCATAAAAGGCTGTGGTATTTAGATTGAGAGTTCTTAAAGATACAGTAGCAATTTCAGAAAATACTAAAAAATTAGTACAAATTAAATTTTGTGCTGTTTGGAAAGTCTAGCACAAAAACATTTATGTGCATGTAGAAGTTACCTATCACTTCCAAGCTTCCACAGAGCAAACACATCTTAGGGTGCGCGTTGGGATTCATACTGCATCATTCACAGTTCAGCAGAATTCCTTTTTCTTTGGGCTAACTGCTGTAATAATTTTGTAGTGGAGGGGACAAAGCACCACTCTTCCCAACTTTAGCTTGCTCAAAATTAGCAATTTAAAAACTGGCTTAGAAAAGCCAGTGCTCTCAGGGACTTTGTGTAATCTTCTATATTCAGCTACCATTTTTTAAAAATGCTATATATTTTTTCAAAGTCTGGATAGCATTCAGCACATTTAGCTGCTCATCCATTTTCTGAAAAAACACGTACCTTAGGCAAACGTGATAAACCACAGGGGAATTGTATGCAAATTCAAAGCTTTGCCCTTCCATCAAACTTCTTTATTCTTTGGTGTTTGCATTGGTGGGTGGGTCCCAGAATAGAGCTGGCATCAGTTCTGATGAAAAAAACATTTCTTGACATTAAACTTTATATACCAGTGACAATGAATGTCATTACTGATAAATGAGTGAACTATTATGAGTGTTGTTTGTAGGGATGAAGGCACATTCCTTTACTTTTTAGTTAAAACTATACCCCATATGAAGTTGAGTTCTCAATGGCCACATTAGTTCCAGAAGTTATGGAAGACATCTCTTAGGATTTTTTAAAAGCAATTTGTTTTGGTTTTAAGTAAAAAATAATAAAACATCATGGCAGCACTGATTCGAACGTGGGCAAATTGAGCATATAGCCAAGTTTTTCTTAAGTGCCTCACTGTTAGAAGCTTTTCTGCCTTTCTCAGGATTTTAAGCTATTACAAACTGCATCAAATACAATTGTTTCATAAACATAAAACCTGTAGACGTAATTTTGTTTAAGTTCAGCCATCCTGTTTCCACCATTGCACTTCATATGGGGAAGGGTTGTTGCCTTGGACTTGAATCATTAAAGGGACAGTTAGAAATCTTGTCAAGTATTGGCACCCTACAAGTTAAGCATTTAATTGAGGGGCCTATTTCTCTGTCCTTAGAGAGAATCTAGGTTCCTTATTTAGATAATCTAATTCTCTAGAAGAACATACCTGCCACCACTGACCTTATGCAGCCCCTGGGATTCCACTTTAGGCACTTACATTGCATTTCAGGAAGTCAGATGATATGAATAGTCTCTTTTATTCCCTGACCTAAAGTAAAAAAAAAAAAAAAAAGCCCCGATTATAGGGTACAAAGCTGAAAATATATTTCTAAACTTCTATGCAAGTGTTTTTACCCAAAAAACATGCTGCAGGCATATCTGTGGACGAAGCCCAACGACAGAGACCATGTTTTGTATATTCACTTTTTTGATTTAAACTGCATGTATGAGGAAAATGATTAACTATTCTAACTTTTTACTTTTTTTTGAGAATTGCAGTTTCTGCTAACTCTATTTTGATTGCAAGCTTAGTTTTTCTTACTGTCTTGCAAATAATTTAAATAAAACCCATTAAAAATATTTAATACTACATATCAGTGTTTGACTACTTTCATTCTAGTAAAAACACTGCATTCTATGAACATGAATCTAATTTCTGTGTCCCTTTTGAATTAAGGAAATACACCATGTTTCTGGGTGGTTTTCACCTTGATTTGTCCTTTCTGTTTGTTCAGACAAACAGTGTGTAATGTTCATGGTCCTGAAAGCTGAGTGTTCTTATTCTGTGTTTAAACATAGCTCTCCAGCTGGGGATTGGTATGGTGAGGCAGTATCTTGAACAAATGCAGATCTTTCTGTTTCTTTTTCTGTTTCTTTTTGAAATGTGCTCAAGTTTTCAAAGAAAGCAAATCACATGAAAAACAAAAGCAGGGTTAATGTTGTGTCACAACAGGTGTTAGTTTTAGATAATTTAAGCAGCTGTCATGTTCTTCTGCCTTAGAGTCACTTCCATTTGGAAAATTTCAAATATTCAATGTGATAATTCTAGTATCATTTCTACATCATATCAATAGCTAATCTAAATCATACACATACCAGTGAATATTAGGTGAAGAGCAAGTTTTTAAAGTTGAGTTCCTAATGCCATGTTTAGACTAGTAAATGTGGCCAATTTTTTCAAAGGTGTTGAGTGTTTGGCAGTTGATGTTAAACTTGAAGGTTTGAGATTATCTACCTGCAGAATTTTCTTACTCTTCAGAGTTATGTAATTGTCCAAACACTAAACAAGCAGTCTTTACCAGTTTATTTTTACTGAGGCCATGATGAAACAGAACAGTTTCAGGGTTTTAATGCAGTGGATTGATTGCCTGGGCCTGATTGAAATATCACACACAACCAGGTATTTGTGTCTGAGGACCATACTGGGGACATCTCTAATTGGGGAAAGCGGTCTATGGCCATGCTTTTAACTTCAGGATCACAACCTTTGAATAAATAGTATAGGAGCTGCACAGATTAGCCATTCAAAGCAGTCAGTTAGTGGGAAGTTTGTAGGTTTTACCATGCAAATGTTTTTATGACTTCATATGATACAAGACTTTTCTGCTGCTATTTGAATTTTCTTGAGTTAAACAGCTCATTCTATCAATGCAATACAAAATCAGAGTTAGAAAAATTCAACAAAATATTTCACAGCCATGATAGTAAAGGAGTGAGTATATGATGGGTATTTTATCTCACCTTGTTCTGAGTTAAAATGAATGAGTTCTCACCTAAGATCCATCCAAAAGTACATTTGCTATATGTGCTGATGTATTTGCACTTAAGTACTCAAGACTATATAGATATTTCTAGATGTGGGGCCAAGGGTGTGAGAAACTCAAAATTTGAGTAACAACTTCTCTTTCAAATTTCTAAATGTCCCTTTGAATATTTCATTGAAACTATTAATATGCAAATTTTCTGGATTTGCCACGTAAGTCAAGATTGCCAAGACTTTAATCATCTACATAGTCTGGTGTCTGGTTGTTCCCAGGTGATGAAGACATATTCTTGAGTTGAAGTACTCCAGTATTGGGATTTTTTGTTCATTTTTAAATGCTTATGTAGCTGGGAAGTGGGTGTGTCTTCACCACAGGACCCGTTCTTGGTGCGTTTTAGGCTCAATTTAGTTATGTAGCTGATGGTGTCATTTGAACTTCAAACCCTTTGCTGTCAGGTTGGCCATTCACAGATGTCTGCCAGATATCTTTAGTTCATCTTTACCACTAATGACACTGTGCAAAGTAACCAAGCAATTTTGTATGTTGACTTTGAAGTCTTCCTCCTTTTTTATAGAGCTAAAATGGTTCCAATAGGTTTTCATATTTAGTTTCTCGTTTACACTAGTTATGGTTTCAGCAGGGGCTTATGATTATAGTATATCCTCAATAAAATGAGAATGACTTGAAATTTAGAGCTTAGTAGAGGTATTTTAGGATATGTATGTGGGAATTGTTATTACTGCTAGCATTAACAATGAATGCTATATTCAGGTACTTTTTAAAGTGTAGATAGATACTTTATTACTAAATCACCTGTCGCTTTCTAGTCCTAAAGCACATTTCTATTCAGGGGTCAGGTTTAAGGTGAAAAAAATGGAATTTGTTAATATTTTAGTTGAGGAAGCAGTTTTAAAAAGACTTCTTTAATTTAGCTTTTAACAAACTCAGTTAATTCATCAAGGTCAAAGTTGGAGTCCTTCTTGCAGCCAAGTAAGACCATACTTGAAATGACTATAAACTTTATGACTTTCTCCTTCAGCTCCTATCTCATGGTGCTGCATTTCTTTAGAATATGAAGAGACATGTAAAGATCATTCCTTAAAGATACTACTATTTACAGATTTTAATACCTATGTTAGCATTCCATTTTTTTACTTCAAGTAGTCCCACAAATCAGTAGTTTAAAGCATGTTTCCAAAATTCAAAGGTGTCAAGCTTCTTAACTGTGAAGTAGTGTTTGTGGTGCCAAATAGGCAATATTATTTACCACTCAATAGCTTTGGTTCTTGTATTTGCTTTATGCATAAGTGAAAATTTATAAGCTTAGAGATGTGATTGCATTTTCTGCAAATGTTCAGACAGGATAATCTTTGCGTAGATTGCATGGATATATATAGAAGTCCTAAGCAGAATGTGCCAAAAAAACCTATTTGTTCATGAGTTTAGTACTGAAACTTGCTCTTCAGAGAAAGCTGCCCTTCTCCATTTATGCATATTCAGATGCATGGTTTGGGGACTACTTCTCAAATGCATCTCTTTGGGTGTACTTTGCATGACATTATCAAAAGCTCCTTCTAGCACTTGTATTCTGTGGGAAGGATACTTTGTGCTTTTCCTATTCCTAAAATAACTACCATCTTCTGTAAACTTTCCTTCATAGATGATTCTTTACTTAACCATATCACTGTCTGCAGTTGTGATTCTAATACAAGAAAGGTAGATCAAGCAGGAGTCAAACATTTAGACAGTTAAAAGTAAAAAACTGGTGTGAGAATTTGTTATGTTTGGGAGAAATTAACTATCAGCTCTGAGGGGAAAAAAGCTGGCATTATGTTGTGACACTCCACTGAGATGCAGACCTTCTGACACAACAAGAGTTCCCTTGCTTCTTAGCACAGGACTGATGAGCCACAGGGCTGAAAGAAATGGAAAATATTTAACAGGAATTCAACCTTGACAGTTCTGGAGTCAGGATGATAGAAAGTGTGTATTAACATACGTGCTTAGGTATCACTGCCTTTGCACTACTGATTATCTTTATTTTTATTATTTCAACATGGTTGATAAGCAGTTATCTTCCAAAACAATCAGAAACTGTCTTTAAGACAACATGGAAATAGTTCTAATTTTTGGGACTACTTCCATGTTGTTTTAAAAGTAGGTCCAGGTTGTTTTAGAAGATAACTGCTTATCATCTGTGTCGGAATAATGAAACTAAAGCTAATCCTAATTCTTGGGACTGTTTTCACAAGCATGGAGATCTGGAGCAATCATGGTCTGTGATAGTGCTTTTCGCGCTTGTCCTAAAAATCAACCAAAAGTGTAATGGAAGTTTTCTGATTTAGTAGTGCCTGCTGTGGTGGAATTGTCCAGTTTTAACAGACCTTTCTAGAAAATACTGGCTGGTGTGTGACCCACATTACTGAAATACTTTTAAGTTCTGCTTTGAAATTAAAGCTTCCTATTAGCATAGATGATAACTGTTCTCTAGAAAGATAATATGTACATATTTGGGGAGCTCAAAGCATTGTTGTAGCATTAGAAAGCTGAGCTGCACAAAGGTTTAGAATGAACCTTGTACCCAAAGAATTACTTACTCCTTTAGAGACAGTTAAATTTCGAGTAGTGTTGCTTTATAGCGTGCAATTCATCAGTGTCATTTGGAATAGAGGTGAAAGTTTTGAGGCACTGATTATCAAGATAGTACCCAAACTCACAATTGGCTAATGTGATGTGTGGGCAGTGGGATAGCAGAATGCAATTCCCATATTTAAATTCTGCTGTACTGCAGTGTATTCACAATGTTTTGATATTGTGTGGTATCTGCCCATTGTATGTTTCCGCTCCCCAAAATTAAGTAATGCAATTCAAGGAAACAAGCCACAAACTTTCTAAAAGGGATGGGGGAAAGCTTATTTTTCCTTCTGCTTCTAGCAGAGCAAGACCTTCTGCTTTATATACACAGAACTTTAAAAATAGAATGATGCAGGGGTGAAGTTAGAATCATTGCACCATGTCACCCAGTAGAGCAGTTTACAAATAAATTGCAAGATCGTGTTCCATGTTTTACTTTGCCATTCCTCTGTAAGATCTAGGACCCAGTAGCCCAGTTGTGGGAATTAACCATGGCTGAGCCCACAGTGTGTCATTAAGTCTGTTACAATGACCATTTCCCAGACAGTCATGTGTTATCTGAGCACATATGTATGTAGCAGTGTTAAAATAAATAAGAAAATTTGTAATGATCCTGTTGCAAAGATGAAACACCATATACACTTCAGTCTGGTTTTTACCAATACTAGTTCTTTTCCCTTACCAGCTACAAAAGTAGCAAAGCGTGTTTTGTCTTTACTCAGTGTTGATATTTGCAAGGGCACTGGCTACTTACCAGCTAGTGCTGTAAACTGAATTTAAGACTTCATTAACAATCCTGATGAGATACCTTCTGAATGCTTGGGGACAGTAGGGAGCAGTTCCAGCTTGGTCACTGCTCACACCTTCTATAGAAAGCAAGTTTGCTGTGGTAAGCAGGTTCTTTTCATTGTGCTGTTGAGAAACAAACCTGTAAGGGCATGGAAGCAGATTAGTCACTTCAGTTTCCTTTGGTGGTTCTCAGGGCAACTAAACTGAATAAAAGCCAGCCAGTCCCAAAATTAGGTTACTATGAAGTAAAATAGTGATGGTGACTTGTTGGCAATCAAACCAAATCGAAGATTGCCTCTTGAAGTGTCAGTGGCATTTGGTCTGGGGTATGGAAGGAGACAAGAGAAACCCACCTTTTTATTTTTTTAACAGATTGCTTACCCAACAGGAGCCCATTACTCTTAATAGTTGTTAGAGATAGAGATGAGAAAAAAGGCTTCTTCCTCTCCATCCCAACATTGACTAAACTTTTTAAGATGTGAAACTCTAGTTTCATCATGGCAAAGCTGATCAGAAGTCCTAGTGTGTGAGTCATAGAAAACTTCTGGTCCAAAGCTTAATTTTTTTACTCCTCCAATGTGAAGAATGCCTGTTTGCTGAGGGGTGTAGTTTGAAGTGAATCTGTGGTTCTGCTGAACTGTCATGGAAAGTCACAGTGAATGTGGGAAATACCTTCTGTCCCTATTATATACATACTAATGCATGGCTGCATCTTTAGGGGATTTCACAGGTCCTGGGATGTATATTATGTGTTTCATCCTACTCTGCTGAATTACTAGAGTGAAGACCACAGCAAAATTAAGGCACAATTGTAGGATTTAAGTGCAGTACATTCTAGGCACAAGCCTTGAAAGTAGAAGAGATTGTAGTTTTACACAAACTGCTTTCAGTTTCTAAAAGGTTTCCCAGAAAGACCAAAGAATTTAGGAGTCATCTTTTTTCTGTGTGTGTAACTTGATTATATTGGAAAACATGGGAGAAAATGTCTTGGGTAAAACCAAATCAGTGAAAACATACTCAGTTCATTGCAATAACTTTTATTACTGTCAGTGAAAGTATTTGTAAAGACAGTACGGTAGCTTTCTAATAATCATGCATAAAAGAAATTGCTCTCCATAGGGCTGATAATCTATTAGTAAGATTTGTGACATTTTCTTTTTATAGTTTAGCTTTAATTTTCCACCCTTTAACCATTAAGGGCTGACCATTTGTAACTCAAATCTTTGCATACAAAGGCCCTGAAGCCCGTGAGCGTGCCCTCTGACAGGGGCTGGTGGCCAAGCACCAAGAAAATGCTGTCTGTTATGTGACATGACTGTCCTTGTCCTGTAGTTCCTCACCATTTCACTTGTGCATGAAATGAAATTGAACTCTTACAGACATTAGTCTCCTTCATTAATCAGCTTTTGCATAACTGTGCTGTGGATCACTAGAACTGATTCAAGCAGTTTTGAAGGAAACAGGCTTTCACAGGCTGTCAAATGCATACACAGCATTTGTTCACACTGCATCACACAGAGTTCTTCACACTGCATCTCTAGTTTATATTTGGATGCTGTTAAAATTACAGTTAATAAAATTAGATCTTACTTTGTATCATTGTCCATCTTCAGAGTGTCTGAGTGGGCAGCTGTTAGAAGGAACTTGTGTTTTCCTTTCAAGTTTTTTGTTAAAAACTACAGAATTTGTATACCAATACTAAGGCTTTTGTTTTCTTTTAGGATCGAAATAGAATGTATGACAGTCTGAATATGCACTCTTTGGAAAACTCCCTTATTGACATTATGAGAGCAGAGCATGATCCACTTAAAGGTATGTTATTATGCTAAGTAAAGAAAAAAGGGTCATCCATTCTGCATATTTGAATGAATACTGGCTGTTAATTTAGATTCTAAGTTCATATTATAGTGGAAAATGAACTACTTTTTCACTTTGGTGAAAAGTCAATCTTAAGCTGTCTTTTACTGAAAACATTGTTTCACAGTCCCTTAAAACAAACCACTCCAAGTGTTGCCACGTTGCCCTTTCTCTACAGTGAAAGCTGAAAAAAAAACCTAAGTTAATTGATAAAATCAGGATTTGTCCTTTAAAATATTTTTTCAAATCTACTGGAGCATACTGATGCATCCAAATCTGGAGAAGTCCAGAAATACAGTTGGCTTTAGAATGCTGGTTCCTCTTACAGTCCTGAGCAATATTAAATCATTTGGCCACAGCAGTGAGCATATACCTACTATGTGTGGGCTTCCATTTTAACTCCTCTTTTCACTGTACATTAACTCACTCTTGTGAATTCTGTTCTTCAGAACTTTCTCAGGTAGCATTTGCTATTGAACATTGGGGCAGGGAACACAAACAATTCCACTTGGGCTGATCAGATGTTACTTCATTTGTGGTGTTCTAGTTAGATTAACACAATCTAATTTTAAAATTATCCAAGACTTTAGGCTTGTTTTGTAGAAATTAAATCTCTGTATTGAAGAAATAGAAAAAATAAAACAATTTTTTTTGCAGCATTATTTACTCCTATCCATTCTCCATTTCTAGAGGGTCCTATACTTACTGTATATTGCATTAGCACAGAAAGGCCTGTTGTTCTCCTAATTTGAAGGCACCTTGCTAGTCTGCTCATGATTCTTTTAAGATCTGTGTAATTACTTGGAAGACCTGTAGCATTCAGATAGCATTTAATGGTATTTTAAGATTTAAAATAGTTAGCCAAAAGTTTGGAGTTTTTCCCCAAGCTGAAAATCTCTACAAAGCATCTGTAAGTATCTAGCATTTACTTAAACTGTTAATTTTCCTCAACTTTAAAGTAAGTAGAAGCCAAAATTAAGTTTTCTTAGGTGATTTTGAATCTGATCTCTTCTTTGCTATGGCCCAGAAAGAATCAATTCCATTTTTGCAATTTTATGCGAGTCCATTACTAAACTCAGTTTCTGTCTGTTCTACATGTTTGTAAAACATCAGGTAAAACAAAAGGTTTGAAGCCTGTAAACAGCTGGCCCAGTGGTGACTGCTGTGTGCTGAAATCATGCATGTCTCTTCAAGGCTGAGATGACCAGGTGTGTCGTTCCTCTTGCAGAGGATTTGTGCTTCTAATTGCCACACTCAGGTGGTTTCTCCTTCTTTCCTTGTCGGAAAGCTGCTGTTAGGCATAAAGCTAGAGAGTGCAGATCTACTGCACTGCACTGCCATTGGCACCTCTTGCATTCCTGAAGATGAAAATTACTCTGTTTCTTCCTTCTGTACATGCTGACACGACAAATGGAAACGTTGCTTCGTTCCCCCTGCCATCTCACTGTTTTAATTTTATCTCTGTAATGCAGAAGAGATTTCAGAAGCACAGTGAGCACAGAAGATACTATTTTTATTTTTAGTCATCTCTTTGTATTTCATTATGTTATGATAGATGAAAATAATGTATTTCCAATAATAATTTTCCAAGGAGAGTAAGAGAAGAAAAAGGTTTAAGACTTGAAAGTTAATTTGGTTCATACGTAGATACCTTGAAAAACTCAGTAGTTTCCATCTGTGCTTTCTAGGGACATGAGAATATGGTGTCAGTCTACAGTTAAGAGATTTTTTTTTTTAACAGTTAAACAGCTATGTTCTTGCAGTGAAAATTCTGCTAAGTTTTATGTTTGAACTAAAACAGATGGAAGCCATAGATAGTGATGAACTCAAAGGAAATCCATTTTTCTGTTCGAGTGCCAGAGAACAATGCACATGCCAACTGAATTTAAATAGAGTAATTGTGTGCTGCTATTTAACTTGATGGATAAGATATTTTTTCTCCGTGGATGTGATTTCAGCTATGTTATTAACAATAAGGCATGAGAAATGTTCCTTACAGACTGAAAATGGTAGGAGGAGACGTTGTGGTGTATTGGCCTTTTAGTTCTTCTCTACTGTCTTCTGATTTTTTTTTACCATTAATGGGCATTTCTCTAATTTCTGAGCAACTTTAACTTTTTTTTTTTCTCTGCCAGCTTTTTTTCTCTGAAGCTGTAATTTGGTTATATCAGTCTCTCTGGCTTTTCACCACAGAAAATCTTAACATTTACTTAAAACTCCATCATATTTGCATGCAGAATGCACAGGATTATTATTTGTTGCTCTTATTAATATACAACATATTTTGTTGCAACTAAAGAGTATTTTGTAACTAGGGAATATTTTTATGACAAGTTTTCAAGTAAATATAAGCACACTAAAACAATGCATCTTTTATATGTGATCACAGCAGTAAAATGAAAGTCCCTGGAATTTTAAGCACGTGTTTCAGATTTAGCTGCTTACAATATCTGGACTATGACTAAGCATCTTGTCTCAAATTTTGTACAATGCAGAACAGACAGTCTGTGTACTAGCTCATAGCTTCAAGTTTTGCATGTCAAGATCCATTTTAGGAGCAAGTCAAATTTCTCCACTTTTGCTTTCATGAACTTGAAAAAAATATTTCAAATATGATTCACTGAAAGCTAAGTTTATGCCTGCCAGAAAATTGTTTGTAGATGACTGGTTTTGGCTTTGCTTAGACAAAGCTTTGTCATTACAACATGTGATCAAAAGAAAAGTAATTTTTAGCTTTCAATAAGATACTTTCAAGGTAGAGTAATAGGGAGAAGATGTTTGACTTCACTAGTCATTGCAGCAGAAATACTGATCATATTAAAACTAATCTTTCCCATGTATAATCTCCCTTTCTAGAAATGCATTTCATAACAAGACCTTAAGTAATGTTTAAGATTATCCCATCCATTCAATTTCAGCGAAATAAAAACTGAAGTTAAATTAATTCCTTTTATATCATTGGTCTTACATACCCTTTTTATTTTTCTAATAGTTCTTAAAACAATTGAGAGAAAAATTAAAATACTGGTAGCCTGACACATAAAGATATTGCTAGTATAACTCTTCAGACATACCACTTGTGTACCTGATTTTCTTTTTTTCACTTCTGCTCCCCCAAATATCAATGTATTTTGCTGTCAAGAAGCAGGAAAGACAGTGCATTTGGGCTGAAAAAGATTATGGAGAAAGCTAAGAAGCAGTTGTTACATTTTCTGTGCAATATATATTAGTATTGAGGAGACTGATTTAATGGGATTCATTACTTGCTGTTTTAAACATGTTTCTAGTAAAGACTGTGGCACAAAGAGCATTGTCTTTCTTTCAAAGGCATTTGTTCTATATTTTGTGTTTTGAAGCTCTAAAGTTTAAAGCTGCAGAGTTTCTTCATGGAGTAATTCAAATTGTGCCAAGAAAATAAGTTCTGAGGCTGGAAAAAAATATAGAGGAAAAATTCTCTCCCTTGTCACATAAAAGGCTTTGAAATCTTACATACACATTGTTACTTCTTTCTTTCTTAGAAACTTTTTCTGATAAAAGAATATATTTGAGACTTGACAAACTGATTTGTCTGAATACGTGGATTATCAGAGACAGCCCATTTGGCCTCGCTGTGACTTGCACACTTGATAGGCAACACTGGGAAATGCAGTCTCTGGGCTTTCTGTAACTGGGTGTTGGCCAAACACGGGTTTGTGCTGCTGTCTTAACTACACTGCTTCCAAAACTGCTTTCTGAAACTGCTGTCATCCTCAGCCATTCTCTCTTTCTGAGAAAAGCTTGACTTGGAAGCTTTTTCTGTCCTACTCAGAAGATCTCTTGGAAGAAAAAAGGAAAAGGGATAAGGAGTTTTTGATTCTCAGTCTCTTCATACAACAAACTAAGACTTTGTAAAAAAGAGGAGAGTACATGTGAAGTATCAAACTTGTGAATCTGTGAGTCAGTAATGTTTTAATACATGGGTATTCCTCCAACAGTTTATTTAAATAGGAATAAAAAGTATACATTTCTAAAAGTAGTTTTGAATTTGCCTTAAAATAAAATTGAGTGTGCCAAAAAGAAGTTTACAAAAATTTATATTTCCTTTGCCTGATCAGTAACATGAGATTACAGAAATGTTGCTAAAACTAAGTTTGTTACTCTTTTCTCATGTTTGGATTAGCAAGACTCTTAATTTGATTCAATGGCTATAATGGCCCACCAAAACTTACTTGAAGCTTTTAATTTTTTTCTTCTGTCCTCACAGAAGAATGCATTGAGAAATACATGTGAGGCAGTCAGTTCCATTAATATTAATTACATTTAGGTAAGGAAGAGGAGGCAAGATTTGATGGAACTCTGGTTGTATAAGGAGTGTCAGGCATACCTGCTGCTTCTTGGCAATGCTAGCAATTTATTTTCAATTTAGCCATGATACATGAGAATTACTAATTAGCCATAGCATGGTGAAGTTGCAAGTTCAGGTTTGCACAGAGAATTTCTGTAACATGATGATCTTTCTGATACAGAATGGTAATATTAGGCCAGGACATTGCAACACACCACAACATTAGGCACTTTATTTGTTCCCGATAGTAGGAGGTTACAAATTTTGGATCTGTAGACAAGTTCTGTTGAGAGGTAGTAAATTAATTTCTTACCATTTTTCAGGAATGGACTAAGTCTAATATTTAAATAATAGATATTTTCTAACTAATTGGTAGCTGACTTTAAACTATTCAGTCATCTTTATTATTAAAACTACCTTTTTAAGCAGTTGGAGACTACTGGAACTGTTAAAAGACCATTGAATAGTTTATGCAGTTCTAGATTACTGACATTGAAGCAGCATGGGATTAGGTAAGATTTGTGCCTTGTTCTTAAAATGGTATCTTTTTTTTAATGCATTGAACAACATACAGTGAAAATAGCCAGCTAGAAAGATGTATGTGATAGAAGCAAAGTAAATTGTTACAAGATGGTGCTCCCATCTTCTGTGTTCTACATACTGATATTTTAAGTGAGGTTTAATATAGTAAATGTCCATTTAACTTGAATAACCTGTTAAAAAATGCTGTGGTCTGAGCTCTGTATAAAACTGATCTTGAACCCAGTTCCACATGTGAAATGTTCTGAATTTATGTATGTCATGAAATTCAGGTGGACAGCCTAGAAAACAGTTCATTTTACTCCAACAGATTAAGCTGAGAAATAGGAACCTAAACTAATATTATAAATAAGTAGCAATGATTGCATTTTGGAAAAGTAAGCAAACATTCTGTGTTTAAAATGTTCTTGAAGTTGTATGTCCAAGTTGTAGACCAGGTAACAGATACGGGGGTTGAGTTCACAAGAATGCATTAAAGTGTGGTTTCATTGAAATAACCATGTAAATAGAACTTATATGTATCAATACAGCAGTGTACTGAATATTGTGTTAGTTGTTTTCCTTTCTAATCTCGAAATCATTCATTATCTGAGTTAGCAAATTCGTCTCCTCAGCAATGAGATGGGTTTTGGGCTGCAGTGATGGGCCCAGCTGCCTGGTGCAGCCCTTTGCTTCCACTCAGTGATAAGTCCTTCGTTATTTCAGCTTGGCATATGTGTTTGAAATGCAGCTTATTTGTGAAGCTATAAAGGAAAAAAGCAAAAGAATGCAAAAGCAGAATTACATAACCTAGAATTTACTATTTTTTAGAAGTTTTCCTTCCCAGATGTTGACACTGGTGAGCTTCTCTCTCTTGCTAGGCCTTCAACCTGACTTCTGTTTATGAAATAATTGCAAGAAAAAAACCCTACCCTTTGTCTCTCTTGCTAAATAGGAAAAGAGGATAAATTCAGACAGAGTCAAGACAGAGTCAAGCAAGTTTGAGATAATGTCTCACAATTTCATTTGTTATTGTCGATAAATAGAGCATTCTGATTTGCAAATAATGCTGTTGCAAATGTTTCTATAGCAATGTATATAAACATGATATGACAGTGACAATCATGTTTATGATATGACAATTTCACAGATCCTGTGACATTCTTGCTGTTAGACAAATGAATGTTAGCCTTGATAGAGCAAAAACCTAAGAAGTATAGCAAAGTAAGTTAAACTCCAGGCTGAGCTGTGGCAGCTCCCAGACTGCAGTTTAAAGATGCCTTTTTCCTGATTCTTTGCCTGTTTTACCAGCATGCATTGCTAGAAGGGTGGAATTTTTATAGTTCCAAGAAACATTAGATATAGTTGTAGGTGTTCAGTACAACAGAAGAAATATATTAAAACTGGACACTTTGAAGACAAAAAACATAGAGGCTCCTACGAAGGTTTTTGTGTTTAGTGTTTTGTTTAGCCTGCTCAAAGATTCTGTTGAAGTTAGAGAAGACAGCATTTCTGGGTGGAATTCATCTGCCCTTCTCCAGGAGCCTGCTGTAGGTTTCAGTGCTTCCAATTTCAACAGCAAAATGTTCTTACCTAATCTGTAGGTGTTCTGATACCATCCATTCTTACAATAATAAAATCTGTGGGACGACAGATAGTTCATAGCTATATAAAAATCTTCTTTTTTCCACAATGCTTGTAAATAATAAGGCTGAAGAAAATTTCCTAAATTATCTTAATCTTGCTATTTTGAACTTTTAGCTTTCAGAGTCTGCAATGTGTATATGTTAAAATTTTTTGGCAGAAAATTACTATGTTGGTTTCTTAAAGGAGAAGAGGAATACCTAAACCCTATTATTTACAGATTTACAACAAAAATATTTTTTATTTAACCCCAAAGGTGTCCCTTGGGACTCTGAACTACTTAAAGAAATTTCTAGTCTTGCTGCTAAGCTCATGGGTTTTCCAGCAGTAGAGGACCAAGCAGAGTATGATAAGAATTGCTAGACAGCCTTAATATACAGCTTGCTGATTTGGTTTTCTTTCTTTTCCCCCCCGGGGCTTCTTTTTCTTGCAAGCCGTCTGCATATATATGACCTTTAAAAACATGTGAGTTCTACATGCCCATTGCTTCCAGACTGGGTTCTTCTTTATGCCTCTACAAGCATTCCCATTTCCTTCAAAAGATTTAGATATTTAAGTCACAGTATTCACATATATAAATAAAATGTTCTTCAGATTAAAAGCAAGCAAGTAAATTTGAATAGCAAGATAGATGGCAATGCAGTTTTTTGCGCATTCAACCACATTTTTTTCAATCACAGCAGTTATTGTAAGTGTCTCTCTAGGTCAGTGTGCACTACGGGTATATTTGCAGCTTCCTGTAAAAAGAAAAAGTCTCCTTTAATAAAAAGGAATTTGCAGTGAACGGACTCTTCAGCTATGTATTTTAAACCATTCATTTAAGTGCTGAAGTATAACGTGCCACTGGTGTAGTAAAATGCAATTCTTGAAAAATTCTAATGTCATGATATGAGATTTACATGTAATTTTTTTTTCTGTCTAAAATACTGAAAATTTTGTCTATAATAGTCTTTAATTTTGTTGAATCTGTATATAAGCAACTGCTCTAATGTTACTGGACCTACTGAAAAATATTACATACCAGGTTTATATGAAATACACTAAGATGCAGTCATAAATCAGTTAATAAAATTTGCATGCCTCATTTCTTTACTGACATGATTTTTCTTAAATTGCTTCAGTAGAGAAGCATGAAGTTGTAGAAATGCCACTCTGTTAAGCAATGCGCATAGTGCAGTTATTCACAGTCGCTGTGAAAGAGGAGACTAAAGCAGTCAGCACTATTTCTGGGTGTCATGAAACAAAAAGTGGCTTTATCCTATTGGAGCTGATCCCAAAGTACACTGCAGATCTTATGACCAGAGAATTAAGGTTAAGAAGTCTGTTCTTGTCAGCTTTAACTTGGGTCAAGGGTATTGTTGGTTAATGTGCTTGGAGTTAAATATTAGCTCTTTATTTCCCTTAGGCAAATTCTAAGCGTGATTTTTCATTATTTTTTTCTGGCATAATAGCTAAAACCTCTGCATTTGTTTTGTTCTTTGGTTTTTGTTTTCTCTTAAGGTCGCTTGAATTATCCACATCCGGGGACTGACAATCTTCTGATGTTAAATGGTAAGTTCTAATCTTATAACAGTTTCTAATTATCTCTAGCTTAGTTTAAATCTGACATGTTGGTATAAAATTATACTGTGCTATTCTGTTACTGAATTACTTGCCTCTGGTCTTCAACACTGATGGGACTGTTGCCATTTCTTGGAGTTCAATGGCAAGAGCTAATCTTGCAACAGACTTTCATTATATCTAGCTTATTGGAAATCTGAAATGTTCATAATGATGCACTATTCTGTTTTGTTCTCAAGCAATCCAGGGGTATGTTTTCCAAAGAGCTGTAGGAAATCTATTGTACTGAAGCAGGAATGAGAAAAATAAGAAGGCCAGAAACACATGTTTTTCTATATTGGGTAAATAAAGAGTGAACTAGACACTTGGCATTACACTCATGTGAAATAACATTTTATTTTTGCTGGGGTTTTTGAAAGTGGCTTTTGTCAAGCACGTGTCTACCCATGAAATATGCTGAAGTTAGAGTTCATGTTCACGTTCCTCTCCCAGTAGGTCAGACTTCATGAACATCTGCTACTCAGTGAAGGCATGAACTTTAGCCTTTGTTCAAGGCTAAAGGAGGAAGCACAGCTTGGTAATCCATCTAAGTCAATAATAAATCAGGGCTTTTGCACATAAGTGTTTTCTGCATTGGGAAAAACTAGAGCTGTAGTGCCACAGCTTCTCTAGGTTAGAAGACATGGAAGCTGATGTACACAAAGGACACACTTTTGTCATTCACTTGGATGAGTCCAAGTGTTAACAGTAAAGATCTCTTAATAAAAAAATATGGCCAGAACACATTCATTGCTGTTTGAAATTATATGGAGGGTTGTTTTTTTGTTGTTAGGTTTTGGTGTTTTTTTTTTTAAATTGCCTTACCCATTCTGCACAGTCATTTACACTTGTGCAAATGGATAAAAAATGCAAGCAAATACCTATTTTCCCTGCATAACACTGAGCAAATGTTTAAAATTGTTTAAAATTTTAAGGAAACTAAGATTTACCTTTATGCCCAGTAAAGGGAAATACTGCACAATGGCTATTTGAAGAAGTAGATCCTTTGGTATTGAATAGGTAACTTTAAGATAATGGAGTATCTTGAAAAGAAAAAACAGGTACTTAACTATAGAAATAAAATCAGTGTTTAGACAACACTGTATTGATTCCTCTACACTGAATATCAGTGTGCTTGATGTCACAACATTTACAACATTTTACTTTCTGTATTTAACTGCAGCTTTAAGACCTGTTCTCCAAACTGGTTTGTTCAGGTGGTATATGTGCAAATAGGCATTATCTGCTGCTGTACAAGGAAGTGTTAGATGGGAAGGTATGAAGAGAAACTGAGGTATTTCAGTGAGGTGACTGTAAGAGATTAATACTTTATTTGTTTAATTTTACTTAGAATGGTGAACTTCTCTTTTTAGAGTTTTGCATGCTAAAAAAGCACATGGGAACTGTTGTTACTCTATTGAATATCTAGGAAAGAAGGGGTTTTTTGTTATCATGAGTACTGGAGAAATACAGTGGTACCAGTCTATCCTAAAATCTTACCACAAAGCTAGAACATGCACTGAAAAATATCTTGCTTTTAATGCTTGTGTGGTTTCTCTTGTACTTAGAGAGGTAGCGCTTAGTGTGACTGCTGTCCTCTTTAAAAGATTATTTTCAGCCTTCAGTAAGTGAGATAAAAATAACAGTTTAAGTATCTAAAAAGGTGCTGCAACACATAATTTTTTAATTATGCCCTTTAGAATTGAGTTCAGAGCCTTGTTGTGTCTCTAGCACAAAGCTGGAGTCTGATGTAGCTGTTGGTGCAGGCAGGGCAGTCAGGGATGCTCTTCAGAGCCCTTGCAGGTTGGCATGTCTGAACTGCAGCTTCTTGCAGCTCAGGAGCAGAAGCACTGGAAGCAGCTTTTGGGGAGCTCCAGCTGCTCGGACTCTGTGCAACCTTTCTTTCTTAGCAAGAATTGAGGGACTTCCTCCAAATGTGCAATAAGGAGAATTATGGTTTGAACACCTGGTGATGAGCTTGTAAACCTCAATTTCCTTCTCCACTTAAGTGGGTTCAAGCCAACATTTCCCTCTGTCCCTGTAACTGGTGCCTTGGGGGGAGTTTTGGCAAAAGAATAGTTGGTAATTCAAAGACTCCACATTCGTCCCTTAATTTCTCAGTAAGTACTGTGGTAGCTATAAGGAGGAGCAGGAATACCAGACCTTCATGAAAGCAAATCACAAATATGTTTAAACACCCTCTCCCCATTTATGTGGGCACTACTAATTAGCACTGACCCTCTCTGGATTTTAGTGAGATTATTTTAGTGAACTGGTGCCTCTGGATTCCAGAAAGGTTCTAGCATGACCCAGGCTGGAATTTTGCAGCCCTTTTACAGCTAAGCACTTCTAGATAGAACTTTTTTGATGGTGGTTTTTCCTCTTTGTAAATGATAGATTTTTTCCATCTCATTTAAAATGTACTTACTGAACTGTACCTAATATTAATATTTACAGTTTTCATTATTTAAATTAATGAAATGAACTAAAGGAAACCTGATTTATGTGTTTTAATAAATTATGTATAATTATGTGTCTGTTTCAGCTTAAGCTGTAAAAAAAAGTAATGCATTTTTAATGACTGTTATCTCTCAAAAGTCAAAAAAAAGATACTTTGGAATGGGTATACCTGACTGCAGCTTTCTCAGCTTAGAGAGAACATTTTTGAAACAAGTAATAATGCAAGAGTCAAGTTTTTTGGGATGTAGAGTGTTTTTCCCCATTATGGGGTTTGTCCCACTTTCTCTTGTTTTAAAGCATTGAATTTTTTGAGTTGCTGTTGAAACATAATTCCCCATTTCATTTGTTTAGCAAGGGCGTATTAGACTTCTTACAGATACTATAACTGGTTGTGCTTCTAAAGAAAGCACTTCAATCAGAAATTACTAAACCTCCTATACAGGAATTGCTAAATGAACTTCTGTAGTCTTATAGGTGTCCCAGCTTGAATGGTCATAATGATGTCTTTCAGCCTTAAAATCTATGAAGGTGCTATTTCTAAAGAAATTTAAATGGAATTTGGACACCCAAATCCAATAGAATGAAATGGGAATTAGGCATCTACCTCCTTTAGTCTAGACTCTTGGGAAATTATTGCTGTAACTGTTTATGGATTTCTTTAAATTACAGTTATTAATGAAAAAGGCTTCATCATGTCTGTCACCATTTGATCGTTATGTCACAATGTTAGTGACAAATTGTATTTTATCTTTGTAGGAAGTTTGCCTGATAGTTTTTCCTGATACACAACATAGTGTTTTTAATTCAGCTTCATCATTCAGCTGAGTTCTTGCAATATGTGTATATTTGATCTCTGGTTGTGTATCTGAAATATGTGTCTGAATAAAACGAAACCATACATTTGGTATCTTTGTGGTAGCATTGCTCACATAATGTTCAATTCTATTTTCTTGAGGTTAGATAAACATGCACAGCAAATGTATTTACTTATGTTTTAAATCTGTGACCTGATTTATGTTGCAGAAAGGGAGATTTTAATTTTTCTGATGGGTGTAAGCTGTATTAGCATGCAACTTCAGCAATATAGAAAAAGAAGGTTTTAGCTAAAATCTTTGTTGTATATGCAGCACTCTTGATTTTGGAAGTTTCCAGTATTACTGGATTTAATTTTATTGGGCATCATTATACTTCTTGTATGTGTTGCCTAATTGATATTTTCTATAATGAAAGTGTCTTTCATGCATTCTCACTAATTTGAAATCTTTCCAAGTTACTGGCTAATTAAAATATCCAGCTTTATAAAATAAAAGGCAAATTTCAGTATAACTTGGTATTTGGACAAGTTAAGGAAAACAATTTAATCTCTCCTTTTTTGTTGCTGTAAATCAGTTATTTGCCTGCAGTGTCTGGCCATTTCCAAAAGAGCTGTCTTCCCTGCAATTATTTATGTATAAACATGTGCACTGATGATGTGTATGTTAAATACATCTGTATAGTCTTGATGTATCGGTAAACCTGTAATTAACTATATTTATACAGCTGTCATGCCCTGTAAGCATGCCTGCTCTGTAAGGTGTAAAACATTATATGCATATTATTTTAATAAATACAGAAAATCTGCATTTTTCTAGATGCAAAGTAGCACTATATCCCTGCCCACACTAGTTTGCACTCTAAATGAGCAAGACATGAATTTTAGGGAGGAGGGTTTGCCATACAAGTAAAGTAAATGATATGACAGCATCAGGTACAGTTTTTCTCCCATTTTCCCTGATTTTGTTGTTTTGCTGAAGCAAGAAATACACAGATAACTTTGGTACGTTGTTGCAATTTCGATATATATAAAACATTGCACCATCTACTGTTTTAACTGCATTGGGGGTTTTTTTTAACATTTTAGTAACTCTTTTGTTTTTCCTTAAAATTGCTGTTTCCTTTTTTTGAATGCACAAAGAAAAAACTTCAGTTGTTCTGTAACAAAATGTTTTTCTGCATATCAACTTGTCTTAACTATGAAAATGTAAGAAAATAGCTGAGCTGGTTTGGTGGGCTGAAGGGGGTGGAAGAAAAGAAAAACAGTATCCTGACACTTGTGCTGAAAGATGAATATTAATATGCATCACTGTATTATCCTTTGAGAGAGAACACGGCACTGCAGACGTTGCTGTGGATGGTCTGCACTTGAATTTTCTCTGCTTACTCTAGTTTCATTTGTGGATGGAATTTATTTTTTAAAAAAAGCATGTGGGGGCTAGGCGAGGGCTTAGTGACGCTGCTGCTAATGCTCCGTGGGAGTCGCTTTGGCCAGGAGTCAGAGAAGATTTGTGCATGCAGCACTGCCACAGAACTGCGTCTTCTGAGGGCCTGCCTTCAGGGAGAAAACGGGTCTGAAGCTCAGCAGCAGAATCCCCAGCACCTAGTGAGAGAGCTGATCACACAGAAGAATATGCAGCTTTGTGGATTCCGTTTTGATGTTGGAAATATGAATTAAAGTGTTTATACTTGTTTAGTTACCCAGGTCTCTTTCAGAAAGTGGGCTTTCTTCTGTTTTGGCTTTCCAGTAGAAGTTTTAAGGATATGAAAACCTTTAAGCAAAAACTATTCTCTTCAATAATAATTATTTCAGGTGAGAGAAAATAAATCTGAAAGCAAGTTCAGTACAAATTGGATAGAAGTATCATGACTGTTGTGTAAAAATAACTTTTCTAAGGGAGCAAAAACAAGAAAGATTTTTTTTCAAACTTCCATAAGCAATCCACTGAATTTCTAGTTGGAAGGGATCAAGATAACAAAGGGAAAAAATGCTATATCTAATAAAATTTTTGAAAACCCCTAATCAAATAGGAGGTACCAGTATATAAGTATTTCATAATATGAGAATGGAACAATGAATGACATTTATGAATCAGTGATTTTGAGTCAGTATGTATTTCAGTGGCCCAGAACAACAGTTGCTTTTAGGAGAAGTGTATGTATAGAGGCCTTGTAAAATAAAAACAATAATGCCAAGACACAGCTGTCTGTTCCTAAATGTTGCTATGATCTTATGGTTAGTAGGAACATCTATTTGGATACTTAATGCCACTGTGTAATGATTAAAGTAATTTTTCTCAGCTACTGAGTCTGTTAAACGGGAATAGAAAATACTCTGTGGAAATGTAACTAAGAAATTGCACAAAGCTTAATAGTTTCTGTATTAGTAATCTGTCTATTTTTAGTTTTTAGCCTTCAGGCAGAGAAGCAATCAGTATGGTCTGCTGAACTGTAGCTGCAAGCATGATCTCTTTAAGAATCTTGCAAAACTCAAAAGTTAGGAAAATCTTGGATTTACTTGCAGTCTGTGCGAATTTGTTGCTTTGCCTTTGTGCAGTGTTTTTGATACAATGCTATTTCTTGTGACTTGTGCCCTGATTTCGTTTGCTAGTACAAGGCAGCTTTTGTTTCAAACAAAACCTTGCGGTTAATTTTCTGCTAGGTCTTTTCATGAAAAAGGAAGGTCACGGCTTACAGCATTTGCATTGTCACTGCAAAGGACTGTACAAACTGTTCCATGTGGACCAGGATGTGTCTGTGATTAACTTAACACTTGCTACATGCTTTTTACAGTAGTATTTTCCTTTTTACAGTTTCAATACCATATGTGTGTTATTTAGGCACTTGTGTACGATAAAAATCACATCTTGAGGATGAATTGCTAAGTTCCCATAATTAATTTGTCCATAATTAACATGAAGTGAAGACCAAGTTTAAAGATGTTGAAATATATGAAAGAATTTTACTTACAGCTGGTGTTAACATCAATTTAGTACTAAAATAGTATGGTATTTATGTGTGATTCTAGTGCATTCTCATCTACAATTATCAGTACCAAGTACAGATGCAGATTTTTATTTACTACTTACCCACATGGTTTTTTGTATCTTAAATATTTTAGTCTGTGGGCATGATACAGTTATTTGACATTTTACAATTTGTCCTTTGTTTGCATGCAGCGAGGAGTTATGGGCGAAGACGAGGTAATCCACTTCAATTAATTCTGATCTGTTACTGATCATTATGATTAATTAATCCAGATTATTGATTGTAATTGCTTATCTGCATGTTAACTTAGTTTGGGGAGGATGGAGGGTGTGAGGGAAGGAGTACAGTCTGGATTGTTATGATCATTGTTCTTTTAGAGTCTGAATTGAAAATCCTTTAATCAGTTAAAAACTGCAGTTCTAATCATAGTTTAGTTCATGCTAATGGCTACTGCTTGCAGTCATTACCCCCTTTAAAAGTATACAGTTTTCTAGTTGTCCTTCTAACTCCTTTTGCTTCTGTAGAAGCAGTAGTGTGCAGAGTAAAAGCAAAAAGCCTTTCTAAACTTAGCAAGAAATCTAGTAGACTGCTCTTAGAAGTAGTAAACACGTTTTCATAGTATAAGCCAATATGTATGCACTAACCTTGAAAAGCTCTACTGTTTCAACTGTGCTAGGATGTGGTGTGAAGTTCTTATAAAGACCATGTAAAACATGCAAGAACAAAGTACCAAGATCTTTGGTAGCTTCTGGTACTCACCACATACACGAGTTCATGTGTCTATCTTGTTCTCTGCATTGGTTCATAACCTAGTGCTTGGTAGCCATAATCTGTAGAGCGGTGATGTTGTAGATCTTGGCCAGTGGATGTAACAGTTAGTACAATCATTCTGACAATTCCTGCCAGATTCTGCTTGTTTTTTTACTGTTAAAAAACAAAAAAGTGTTTAGAAGGGCTGATCCTTTTTATTCATAGTCATCAAGAGAAATGCGAAAGCCTGTTGAAATGGAAAAGCAAATTACCTTTTTGCTTTCTTTATTTGAGAGACATTTAGAAGTGAAGAGGATGGAGAAAAAAGTAATAGGAGTCATATAGACTATATTACTCTGAAAGTGTTTATCTATTGTCCTTGATGTCATCTTAGCTCTCACAGGAGCTCCAGTGCTTTTCGCAAACCTTTATCCACATTAAAGTTAAACTGAGCTCTCTGGTATCGCTTCAGAACATGTTCTGCTGGTTTTATTTGTAAAGAACAATTCTCATTGTTCTTAGATTTTAACATGGGTCTGTGGGTACAAATAAGTTATTCTGAGAGTTATTCTAAGACTGTTTTCCCCATTATATACTTGTCTATATTGTATATATTGTCTAAGGAGCACTTCTTATAAACCAAGCTAAGTTACAATAATTTTAGATTTAAGATATTGAGAATAACTCTCCTCTATTAGTGGAATGTTTTAAAATTTCCACTTTCAGTTACCTGCAGGTTCCTGCAATATGAGTCTTATTTCTTCCATCATGCACTTCTTCCTGTCACTGTCATTATGGTAACAGCTCCATCTTCTCCATCATTCACTTTAGTAATTCAAAAATTCATTGCATCCAACTTTCTTGGTTGCGCAACCAAATCTTACCACTTGTTCATATACATCTTAAAGGTTTCATCATTCTTACTTGTTTTCATAACTAAAATTCATATCCATAGTATGCAGCTGCTACAGTCATAAATTCAGTCTTGCTCCTCTCATGCCTAAATACTTGATATACAAGAGGAATCTTCTTGCCTGCTTCATCCAGCTGTTAGCTGTGTGTCTCCATTGCTCGCTCACCTTTCTGTCCCATTGAGAACCAGCTGCATGCTTCCACTTCCTCACTTCCCACAACTCTGCTGATCTGTTGCAGACCTGTTGATTGTGTCCTTACAAGACCAAGCATCTCTTGCTCCCCACTAGTCATTCTCAAACATACCTATCACCAATTCTAATGGAAAGGAGGAGCCTGCTGTAGCTTTCTGCATTTGCTGTACTCCTCTTCATTGGATTTCTGCTGGAGACACAGATATGCCACTATAAAAATGATGCAGTTAACATTCTTTGTTGTTTGATACAGTGCTGCAGTCCTGCTTTTAATTTTGTGCTTCTCATGATACTTTATGGTATTTGGTTGTTTTATATCATCCTGTTTTATATCGTCCTGTGCTTTCATTCAGTTGTTTTTTTTTTGTTGAGATATCACATCAGTGTCAATAGGCATTACTGTAACATAAGTCATTGGTGTATATTTGCTGTTTTCCACCCTTGTCTTTTAAACATCTGGTTCTAAGGTGGTCTGGAAATTAAGGGCTTTCATACTGCTGTCACCCCAGCTGGTCAGCACTGGATCTGCTGGTATTCCTGCCAGGCTTTACTGCTAATGTTCTCCTGAGCTGGAGAATTAAAGTCTGCAGTATTGCTCACAGCCAAGGTACTGCGGACTCAGCTGTCAGGGACCTACTGATCCTGACTATGGGTTTTCAGTGGGTGAATCTGGAGAAGTTGTCTGTTTAAAATTAAAAACTAGCTTGCTTCTCAGAAGTGTGCTAGGTTGTTTTTTGATTTGGCTTTCTTGCTTCTTTTGGGGAAGCAGTTGATTTAATTAATGATTATTTTTTAAATAAGTGGCAAACAGAGAAAAATGGCATTTCAGAAGAAATAGTGATGTGGATCATTTGCTTTGCTTCATGGAGTCTTTCTTTTGAGGCTTTTTGCAATTAAAAGACTGAGTTCTGAATTTGAAACTATCATTAATCTTTATGTTGCTGACTAAAGCCATAAAAGATTGAATATGCCAAGATAAATATCCTGGCCTTCTGATTTTTTTTTTTGTTCAGAGTTCTACATAATTTGTAAATATGAAATGGGGAAGAAATATGTGGGACAAAATTACCATATTTTCACTTCCCTCTGCGCTCCAAGTGTTTGTTTGGGTCAGATTGCATTTGCAAAGTCATCCTGTGAACTTCTCAGATTTTGCACTTGCTTTTCAGGGTAACAGTAAACTCACTGGAGTTTACTACATGTTAGGAACTGCCATAAGGCTTCCCTCCAAAACTGTAGTAAATTGAGAGTGAGAAGAATAAATCAGCATTGTGACTCATTTTTCAAGTGTTACATTTTACACATTTACTAAAATTCTCTTTTGCTTTCTTAGAAATTGAGTATATTCTTATGTTAGCAGTATCCAATACCTTTAGAAATACGTGTTTGAAACTTGTGATAGGGATGTTTGTTTCCCTGTTCAATTAAGATTTAAGGAGTTTAGACACACTGTACTTATTCAGGTGGAGGAAATGATCAGTTTAACTTGAAGCTAAACCAAAGGCAGACTAACAAAGCTCACTTAAGCAATCTGTAATATTTTCTTTTCATAAATAAGACCCTTTACTTAAAACAAAATTACCACTTATCTACTGGATGCAGCAGAGCATCTACCATATAATGTAATATGAAGTATACACTTAGAGTGATGTCAGCTTGCAATCTTGAAATTCCATTTTGAAGTTTAACACATTTTTTCATTCTCCTAATTTTTCTTTAAACTAATATCAATGTTTCTAATATCTTGGTGTTTTCATTTTGACTCTCCAGACTGCTATTCCCTGTTCCCTATTCCCTAAGATTACAAAACCACGTCCTGCCGCAAAATTATTTTAATGTACGTTATTATCTTTTCTTTTTAAGGCCGTTCTTCCCTCTTCCCAATAGATGATGGCTTGCTGGATGATGGGCACAGTGATCAAGTTGGAGTCCTGAATTCCCCCACCTGCTATTCAGCTCATCAGAACGGAGAACGAATCGAGCGTTTCTCTCGGAAGGTGTTCGTTGGAGGGCTTCCACCGGATATTGATGAAGGTGAGCTGCCTGGAAACCAAGCACACTATGTTGGGAGGGAGAAACAAAAACAGGCCATGAAAAACCTGATTTGAGTAGTAAAGATCAGCCACTCAGCTTAAAAATAATGTTGTGCAAAAGGCTGTAACTATTTGTTCTTTATGTAAGTTGATGGGTGTGTTGAGCTTTGTATCATCTTTTTTGGTTTTGGGGTGTTGCAGTTATTTCTGATTCTGCACTTGCAGATTAGAGTTGCATGTAATGCCTAGAGTGTGTGCTCCTGCTTATCTTGCATATTTCTTTCAAGTACATCTTAGCCCTCCTCTATCTGTGCCTGCTATATTCTGTAGTCATGGGAAATTTCCATTTGTAAATGAATTTCATTTTCTATTTTACTGTTACCTGAAGATCTCAGCAGTGATATAGAAAGGTTCATGTTATTCCTGATGAGAAATAGAAACTTAGGCAGAGCAAGGTCAAGTGGCAGAGCACTCTTGATGCGTTGAACAGAGACTGTACTACAGATACTCAGATTGTTAGCCAGCTGAAATTGCTTTGTACATTAGTGGTGATTTGAAGTAATTGTGCTGTTTAATATGAGGTTTCTCCTGTGCAGATAAATGTAAATTGCATGTTAACTTTCTAGTATAAGTGAAAGTTCTGTTAGGAGGTTCATGGTAATCCTAGAGTAACTTGCAAACCAAATAAGCTGACTGCGTTTAATTAACTTTCAGACATGGAAAGGCCAGATTTTGGTTCCATTTCCATTGAAATGCCCTCCTATAATCTACTAAGGCATTTATTTTGATATGCTTCAGCACAGTTGCCTATAACACTAATGCTAAACAAAACCACATGGAAATACATTTTATTTCTCTCCTCCCTGTTTATATGATGATGGCAGGATATGACTGAAAGAAATGGATCATAGTTGTGTTTGAGTTGCTGCTTTTATATAGTTCAGAGTATTTTTAACCCTTGGCCAAGGCTTTTTCAGTCACTGACACGTAGGTGTGGCTGGGATAGGAAGAACTCAAAGTTGTGCAAGGGGCATGGTAGATCTTGCAGCAAAGCTGTTGATGGTTGTTGGGAGCACCTCTAAATAGACAATTTCAATTTTCTGTCTCTGATACATGCATAGTGTCTGCTGTAGAGCAGATATCCTGTATATATTTCCTATATGTAGGAAATTGCTAGTATGTTAATTGTGGTGTTACTTGGTATATAAATATCTACTTAAAAAGCTCTGAACTGTACATCACTAAACAGTAAATTTATTTGATTTTATTCAAACCAGATTGTGATTTGAATTTAGGGAAGTTCCACACAAGTTTACACAAATGGCTTTAGCTGCCCATATGCTTCTGAAATGCTGCTGTTTTTAAGCAATAAAAACCAAATGTAAGATTAAAAATCACCAGAAATACATTGTATAAATATTAACACTCTGGAAGATGGATCTATTTAAGTCTTTTGTTTATGAAAATTGTAAATTTTGTTTTGTTTTTCTTCCGATGAAATGTCAACCCTTGCTAGAAGCAAAGGTCTTTGCTTGATAGTTTTTTCATTGAGTTATGTAATTTCCTTTAATTGCAACTATTTTACATGTTTTTAGATGAAATTACTGCCAGCTTCAGACGATTTGGGCCCTTGGTAGTAGACTGGCCTCACAAAGCAGAGAGCAAGTCCTATTTTCCACCAAAAGGTAAGAGAGTTAGAAGGTTTTGACCTGTTACTGAATGCCGGTCTTGCTCTTGGAAACACTCTCATCTTTTTCCAAAGGGTATAATGTAGAGTCCCTGTGAACACTTAAATCTGTTGGTTCAGTGCAGGTCCAGGTGTGGTTCCTTCACATACTGAGTCTAAAACGTGTTATTTTGTTACTGAGCCTGATCAAGTCAACACTCTGTAGGTTGCATGCATCACCGATCATCACTTCTGTATTTGTATTTCTGTCTAGTTTCCAAAACTGAAATTTGATCAAATATTTTAAGACAAAATCTTAGACAAATATTTTCCTAGGAGGTTAAAGGCAGGATGCAGAAGGATGTATTTGCTTAAGTGGTCAAGATAATCAAATATGCATCTTTCACTTTTAGGATGTGAACTTCCTGTTGAAGCTCTAATCTTTTTGTTAAATTGTTAAATACTGATTTTTTTTTCTTTTAAATTATTTCTAGTGTTGCTGTTAGATTATATTTTTACTATTACTTACAAAGTGTTGGAAAAACCGTTCTGTAGATCAAGTAGTTAAGTCACTGGGATATCTCTGTATATGTACAGTCATGTATTGTTACATATAAAATAAATGCAGACGTGTGATCCAGACATGAAAGCAAAGCAGAAATTATTGATTTTGTAGAGAATGCAGCAGTTCATTCCTTCTGTGGAAGTGACAAATGTAGGTATAGTTATTTTGTAAACTGATTATTTATCTGTGCATCTATGCTGGGGAAAAGACAGGATTATTATCCCCAATGGGCCCTCTAAAGAGTGGGAAATGGAATTGAAAGCATTTGAATAGCATTTATGAATGCTACATGGAAATTTTAAGACAAAAAAAGAGACTTTGGCTTTCTTGATTGTCAGCCCAGCCCACAAAGCTACTGTCAAGTTAAATTTGATTATCTTAGACTGCATCTCTCTTCATAAATTACCAAGAGAAATTCCCAAGGAACTCTTTGAAGAAGATGCATCTCTCAGAGTCTGTGACGAATATATAGAAGACAGAAGATGTAATATATTCCTACCTGAAAGGAATGGATTGTGGCATTTGTTTCCAAGGAGATAGTCCTATCTCAGCATCTGAACATCTTAAGGATGTATTTTCAGACTTCCTTATTTGATAAAGCTTTTTCATATAGTTGGGTTGTTTATAATTACTGCAGTAAGAAAAAAATCCAAAGTGTGTTGTAAGTAGAGCTTCTTAAAGGCAGAGAAAATATAAATAGAACTTCAGTGTATTGATCTAATTAATTCAGGAAACACTTGCAACCTAAATGCTCAGTTGATTTCCCATGGTTAACTGATCCTTACTTGAAAAATAAAAGCATTTAGTGTTCTATCTTAACATTTCAGCCAAACTTTTAGTTTGCTGAATTATTCAGTATTTTTTGTACGTAGCCTAACACATTTACAATACAGTGTCGATTTCTCTTTGTAAATACTCTGGAAACATACAACTGCAAGTGTTACTGTGTACATATCTCTTTTAGTCAAAGCAATACATGTGACCCATAATTATTTTTTAGAAGAATTTCATTAAAAATTGTCTTTCATTGGTAGTACTTGTGTGAACAGACAAGAACCATTTATACATACATTAATAAGATGTCTGAGATGGCTAAGGATAGGCAAAAAAAAGCTTTGAGATCAGTCAGTGATTGCCATTTGAGAAATACATACTATATTAGTTCAGAGAATTAATGTTTTTTATTTTCTAAATTGTCACTCTGCATGAAATTAATTTGGTGTCTATATTTTTCTTTGTTCAATTTCATTAGAGATTTGCTATAGTATTGCTTTCCAAAGACATCTCAGAATTAGGCCATTCTGGACTAATTCATGTAAGTCTTCTCTGTGGTGAAGAGATGAAGCCTGTTTTGTTTGGGGTTGCTTTTTTTTGCCTTTTTTTTTTTTTTTTGTTACTGTTCAGTTTTCCAGACTGTGCTTCCTTCCAAGCTCTCTGCTTACAGAAGGTCCTGAGGGAAGGCCAAGTTCATAATAAGTGTTTCCTTGCAGAAAGAAATTCAGAAAGTGTCTTGATCCATCAAGGCTGGCTGCCTCCTGAGAAACACCAACTGCTTGTTCTTAACTAATTACATTTTGTGGTGGTTCACCACAAAATTAGATCGAAACATAACAGGAATTTTTACAACTTTACACTGATCTTACAAGGAAGCTCTGTTCTGAAAAAAAACCTCAGTTCAGCTCAAAGTACAAAGTCTGTAAGAGTGATCTGCCAACTGTGATGCAGAAATCCTTCCTTTCTGACTTGCCACTGTTTATCATAACTCATGTTATTACGTAGTTGGCAAATACACTTATTTGTGAAACAATACACATGTCCAAAGTAACTTGCTGGGTTGAGGACTCCTCCTTTTGATAATGAAGCTCACAAAGAAATGGTGCCATAAAGATATGGAAATTCAAAAAATGCCTTCCAAAATACATCCAGTTGTTTGTGACCTCTGTACTATTTATAGGCTGTCTCAGAGGATAATCTGATTTAAACAGGACAATGTCCCCAGTCTTATTCTAACTGGTTGTTTCTGCTGCCTTGTATGACAACAGCTGTGCAGTAACTTCTTTCTTCAAGGTTCCCACTTGCTAACTCAGAGCTGACTAGCTGAAAAACTCAAGTTGGAAATGTTCTGCTTCTAGTTTCAGAAGCAAAACCCCAGGTCCATACAAATTCTGTTGAACTTGTTACCTGCTACTTTGATCACACTGGATAGGATCAAACTCAGGATTCAGGCAAGTAACTAGGAATCTTCATATGTGATTAGTGTCTAAGCTTCCTTTAATCAATGTGAATCTGGCCAGTACAGCCAGTGAAGTATAGAGGACAATTCAGGTCACTGTAACATGAGCACATTGAGTTTGATTCATTTACCCAGACTGAGGGTATCTAAAAGACTGGATACATGGGTCTCACAAAGATAGTGCAGCACCACATTTTTTCACCTTACATGTGGTTTTGGAGTTTATTCTCCATCAAAGATGACTAAAGGAAAAACTGAAAGATGGGTTATGTAGATCCATTGTCTGTATTAACCTGCAGCTGGGACTGGTTCTTTCTGATATAAGTTAAGGTGCAGCAGTTTCTAGGCAAGAATTGCACTGCACTGAGGCTGTTTAGTATCCTCAGACTGTGGAGGGTGTGTCAGGACAACCAGCCCCAACCCAAAATACCACTGCAGTCACTGGCATGGCACTACATGGGCAGTGCCATGCTGGCTTGCACTGATTTTCTTGACTCCTCCTCTAAGCCATTAGTGACAGGAATTAGCTGAAGGTTGATAAAACTTAAAGCTGCTCTCTGGTTTCTACACAGAATATGCATAACAAGAAGCATGTTTTCTCCCTCTGGTAAACTTTCATATTACTTTGAAATAAATCATTCTTTTCCTTGCGAAGAAAATCATGTTAGCATGAATCTTGTCCAGAATGCTTGGCTTTTGATTTGTTCTCTAAATAATGAATGCCAAAATAAAATTTTTTATGAATACCATGAAGAATTTTAATCTGGTAGGACCCCTCAGTCATCTCAGCTTTTCAAACTTACCTAATGTGCTTTCTGTTCCAGTGCTCACCAATCCATCTCTTTAGTGAGCATTGTAAATCATTGAAGGTCTAGAGCTGTGTACTGCTCCTTCAGAGCGGAGTAGTGCAGCTGAGTTCGTGACACAAGGTTTTCTGAGGCTTTGAACTAAGTGGACAAAAAAAGACATGAGTACATGTTTTTTAGATGAGGTTGAGAAGGCAGTATTAATGTATGTTTTTTCTATTGCTTTCCTTTCCATGTCAGGAGTGGTAGTATGAAGTGACCCTGAGATTAGCTCAGTTGTTTAGAGCATGGTGCTAATAAAAATGCAGGTTGTGGATTCAGTCTCTGTATGGGTTATTAATTTAAGAGATGAACTCAGAGATCTTTGTGTCCCATCCAACTCAGAATATTCTGTGAAATCTGCAATAATCTTTATCACTTCTTGAGTTCTTATGCTTGAATTTTCTATATTTTTGCAAGTTGCTGCAGTTAAGCATGTTAATAGCTACAGACATAGATTATATGGAGGCACTTGGCAACCTTGTATATCTGGAACCACATGGCAGTACCTTTGAACTGCATTAGGAGAAGAACTGATGAAAAATCAGTATCTGGAGAATCTTTGTATCTCTGATTCCTTTTACAGTATCATGTGCAATTAACCCTCCCTTTGATTAATCAAGTTTTTGCGCTCTCATCATTCTTGTACTGGGATCTCCATTCAAAGTGGAATGTGTGTGTGCTTCTGACCGAGTAAGGACAGTCGCATGGAGCTTATCTCACCCATGCCAGTTGGCACATGCCCTCATTCACTAAGTTTAGCATGATTAATATGTGGATTTTAAATTCTGTGATAAATACTGTAATTTATTCCCATTAAAACAGATTTTGAATCTAAATTATTGATGATTAAACTTAAGTTAAACAGGTTGTCATTAAAAAATTACAGTTCAGCAGTGAAGAATAGACTTCACAAGAAAATGCTTCAGCCCAAATCCAGAGATTCCTTATGACATATTTCTTATGAAATTAAATAAGATAAAAATATAGAATACATAAAATCCTGTCATGTGTCCCATTTATGTAGCTATGATGGGACTGTGGTATCAGGGGTAAGAAATAAGGTACAGCTTTGGAAGGACCAGTATGGACCTTACAACTTTTTCTTAAAATCCTGTTCTTGTTCCCAAATGTTTAAAATCAGTTGTGCATTTGTTTTTTAAATCTTACATTGTTAATGCACTGATTCTTTAATGGTCTTCAAGATACACCCTACCACCTTTACCTTGACGACCTGCAGTGTCTGTTTGCAGTAAGAAGTGGCTGCTGGTTCCTTAGCTTCTTGCAGAAATACAGCAAGATTTCCAAAAGGCTTGGTAAAGCATCCATGTTCCCTTTTCCCAAGCCCACTCTAGGGCAGCTGCTTCAGCATTTACTTCTCCATAAGACATAACTTTGTGTGAAAATTCTAAACTTGGTAGTAATTTCAGAAAGAAATGTGAGTTATGGTCGCTTTAAGGTTTGTTTTAGTGTACAACCCTAATTATGCTATTGAGGTATTTGTAAAGTAACAAATTCAGTGTATCTCATATTGTAACTGTGAAAGTAATATGTCATGTTCTTTGCTTGTCTGACTGTTTGGTTTTATGTAGCATTAAATAAGCATTTTTTTAATTCTTTTTTTTGGTAGTGTTTGAAAGGTTTGCTGGGTCACTTACGTAATAAAATACTAATCTCCAGAATAGGGATTAGTCCTTTGTGCCAAGTCGGATTTTCATTGTATAATGTCCATTGCAGCCAATGAATGATGTTTAGCCTAGACTTACAGTGCATGATAGAGCAGACACGTTTGCTTTTATTTAGTTATTAGTCTCATCTGACAATTACTTTACAGATGGAAGTTCTGTTAATTATGGCAATGTAGTACACAGTTAAAGAAGATGACTAATATGAAAGAATTGGGTTGACTTTCTTTTGTGTAGAAAAATGAGTGGCAAAGATGATTCTGTAAAATAAAGATAGAAAAGCAATCAATTGGTTTGCATTCTTTTCCAGGTTATGCATTCCTCCTGTTTCAAGAAGAGAGTTCTGTACAGGCCCTGATTGATGCCTGCATTGAAGAAGATGGAAAGCTCTATCTGTGTGTTTCCAGCCCCACTATCAAGGACAAGCCAGTAAGTACAGTCAGTGGCCTGCAGGCTATGGCTGCCATCTGTCTAAAGCAGCATTGGAAATTGTGAAGATGAAAAAAAAACAAAAGTAAACTACTGTTGGCAGTGCTCAACATCTGGAACACTTGCATTGTTTTAAAATTGTAGTCTTTTGAATTAATAGGATTAAAACAGAGCAACTAGACATGCTACAGTAACAAGGTTATGACTAACAATTTGTATAGGCTGATGAACATATTTCCACATTGTAGTGAAACCTGAAGTAGGATACTGTTTTCTTTCGCAATTTAATAGGTTCAGATCCGTCCCTGGAATCTAAGTGATAGTGACTTTGTGATGGACGGTTCGCAACCGCTTGATCCTCGGAAAACAATTTTTGTTGGAGGAGTCCCTAGACCATTAAGAGCTGGTGAGTAGAATCTGTGGCAATTTTTTAAAGTGAGAAAGTGTTAGAAATAATTTGTACTATGCATAATTTTTTGTAGCTAGATATGGATTGAACAGTCTTGGTAGTTTTGACTGTTGTACAATATTCATGTATTCTTGAATTTTTCTACTGTGTAGGTTTGGCCATAAATCACAATTCATCATTGAGATTTGCTGGAAAGTGTTATCTCTTTATAGCTGTAATGTAAGCTATGTCACAAGAGGCATAAAACTAAGAGTTTGGTTTTAAAATAATGCTGTGGAAACCTCTCTGCCCCACTCCGTGACTGTGGAGTGGCATTTGTACCTGCTTGTCATTGTGCATTAGCTACTCTTCTGCTGCTGTGAGGTTACACACACAACCAGTGATAGAGTATTTGAACAAGTAGGCGTAGAGGAAAAAGGAAGAAATTCAGAGAGCTAGCACTACCTTTTATGGCACAACGTTATATGAGATTGCAGGACTCTTTCTAGACTCTTGCCAGAGGTGTGAAGGAAAAAATAAATGTTTCTATAGCTGTGGAATGGTTGATGTACAGCCTGGATAGTCTGCTTTTTCAGATTGTCTGCAGCAGCCTTTTACAATGTTTTAGGTGGCCTTCTAGAAGTGGACTGCAGTGGATGTTGGAAGCAGAAGCAAACCATACAGTGGTTGAAATCCCCTTTATTATTAGAATGGCTTCTGGATTTCATTAGTCTTTCATAGCTAGTAATGAATTTTATTCTTAGAGAAAGATGAACTTTTAGATGAAAGATCTAAGAAAACTGAGAAGTAATAGTGCAAATTTGGAGTACAAAGGATCTTAAATTTTTCTATCTTGAACCTGCAATGCTCAAGCTTTTTTGGTATTTTACTTTTAAGACTCTACTTTTGACTGTAATACAGGCTCTGTAAATGAGTGTAAATACAGTATGTTCCAAGTACAGATTAATTTTTCTTTAAATTCAGTCCAGTGCTCCATATTACTGTGCTGAAGGTCTGTGATAAATTTAATGGATGCATTCTTATGCTTAGCTCACAAATGCCCTGTATATGTAAAAATGACATTTTTATGGCACTGTGAAATAAGAATAATGACTTCACAAAAGCAGTAAAACTTAAGGAGACTCCTCAAACAGCTATTGAACATCAAGGACTGCTGACACCTCTATAACCTAATCCAGAGGGTACTAATTCTGAAAAACCAGTGTTTTCCACCCCAGTGAATTGCAACCGAATTCAGTATAATTTGGCAGTCAGAGGATTGCCAAGGTACTTGATCTGTAAAATTTGAAATTTTTGTCTCTCTGAACTTCAGTATCTATGGTAAGTGTAGCACTGTAGAGATAATCAAGTTCTTTGTGGCCGATGAAAAAATGCTAACTACATTTATAAATTCAAGTAGGACGTAGAGCATTAGGACAGCCAGAGAACTTGTACCAAGGAATTTGTGGCACGAGGATCTATTTTATACAGCTTACATTCCAATGCCTACCCGAAAACTCTTTGGCTGAAATCCTCTGGAGAAAACTACCCTGGAGTTCTAGTTCCATGTTATCAAGAACATACAATTCCATTGTTCCTTTTATTTATGTACCCACAGTGTAAAAGATCTATCTGCTGAGTAATGAATAGCTTACTCAATATTATTTCTTTAGTATTTTTAATCTTGTTATTACTGTTTCATTGGCTCTTGCAAAATTGATAATTAAAATTAATTTTTCTCGTATTTTTAAAGTTTGTAGTGTAAGAATACTTTGAATAAATGCCATTTTGTTTCTTAACAGTGGAATTGGCCATGATCATGGACCGTCTCTACGGGGGAGTTTGTTACGCAGGAATTGACACTGACCCTGAGCTGAAATACCCTAAAGGTGCTGGACGTGTTGCTTTTTCCAATCAGCAGAGTTACATTGCTGCCATCAGTGCTCGGTTTGTTCAACTTCAGCATGGCGACATTGATAAACGAGTAAGTTACACAGAAATTTTAAAAAAAGGGTTTTGCTCTGTAAAGAAACTTTTCAGAGTGTGGTAGCATTGCATGTGATTTGCTTTCAAGGCAGTTTCTGTATTTTTTTTAGCATTCATGTAATTCCACTACTTTCAGGAGTATGGCTGAATGCCCCCAGACGAACAACATGTTTCCACAGAGAGCAGTTTGTTCCTTTGACATATGTTGGACCATATGTTCTTCCCATTCTGGAGTTCCTGGTTTTATTGTGTACAGGCAAAGGGCTTGAAAATCTCTCTCCCATATTCCAATGAAACCAAATACTGTGATAATTCCTCTGTCATTCATAAGAAACTCTTGTATTCATTGGCTTCAGATTAGCTTGATACTTACAAACTGCCCTTAATTTCAGCCTTAATTGTCAGTGCTCAGAAAGTTGGTGAGGCTTAACACTTAAAATACAAAAGGTCTTACTTTTTCTGTTTTAAAGTCTTCTTAGTACTTAACCAATGCATATTTCTGTTTGCTACAGATGCTTATTCCTAGGAAAAGTAAAACTGACTTATATTAAGAAGGCTAGTGAACTTCATAACTCCTAATTAGAAGTATAAGAGTAGCAAAACTGGCATCTAAATTATGTCAGTTTTAAGGGTCACTAGTTTTGATGTCAAGAGCTGCAGAGATAGTCTGGCATTAATAGGTGTTCTTAAAAAAATGAAAAAACTATGGTCTTACAGGAAGAAGGGTCAAGTAAGTAAAGTAGTTCAAGGTCCAGTCTCCTCTACTGATCAAAAACACAAGAAAAAGGTAGTACAGTTAACAGAAGTCTGCTCTGAGGAGGCAGCATGTGCTTCTCTCCTTTCACATAGATGGAGTAATTCAGCTTTATGTATGTGTCTCAAATAGCACTTGCCTTATGAGCTGAAATCCCTAAACATGGACCCTCCCAGAGGATGAGTGGGTGTGGATGTGGGTAGTCATCTATGCTTCAGATTAGATGTGATGGCTACATTTTGGTCATGGGATTGCTATCCTTGTGACTTGCAGCTGTCACTGACTTGTAACTGCTTTTTGGATACTTACGTAACAGGAAGAAATGGCCTTGGCATTGGGTGAGGGGATATAAAACTGTTAAACATCTTGCATTTGAGAATTTGGACAAAATGGGAGTAAGGACCAGGATCCCGAATTTCCTCTAAACAAATACTAAATGAGTCATTTAGCTTCAGAATTGAGTATTATTAAGTTTCTTTGAGGAACTCTCTAATGGGCATTTGTCTGTGAAGTCGCCTGACTTGAAAATTGAGACATGGAGTTGGTTCCAATCCAAATTATATCTCCCTCAAATGTGGGAGACATGGACTTGTACCTTGTAAACCATGGGGAACTTTTATCTCAGTCTTCTTCTTCCCATGGGAAGTGTGTCCTTTGCAGCAGAGAGGTGTGTGGTGGACTGGCAGTGCCATCTTGTAACAGAAGGCATGATCCGGATTTTGAGGGCTGCAGTTGCACATCCGTTGTTTTGCTGCTTTTGGTTTCTTATGATTGGTCACCAGAGATCTAAAGGGCTCTTTGGATGTTGAGCAGGCATTGAAAGGGCACTGCTTGCTGTTTGCAGAGAAAAGGATGTAGGTTGTTAATGGGTGATGGAACACTGCAGGCCTCTTGGAGCTTGGAAAAAGAAAAACCAACACAAAATCTACTGCAAGTGCTGGATCTGAGAAGCACTATATTTGACCTACATCCATTCTGTTGAAACTTAATTTTTAAAAACAGTACTCAGTGATTTCTTTAATCTCACATTACCAAAAAAAAAAAAGCCAAAACGCAAACAAGAACCAAAACAATCCAAACAACCCCTGCCAAGCATAGTTAGAATCTGGAGATAGCTGTTCATGGGTTGGAGATGTGGAGGGGAAAAGGCAGGAAGATCTAGGTTTTCTCTTTAAATATCTGAATTCTTAAAGCTTCTTCTTTGAAATAATTTATGTTCTTTCTTTAGTGTTGCCTTTCTAACACTTGAAAAATTAATCTCTTGACTCAAGTGTTCTCTTAAATTTGGAATTTCCACATTTTTATTACCATACTCATTTTTTTTCTTATTTTAAAAATGTGTGCTGCTCCTGAGGTGTTTCACTGGCAAAATACAGCAATCCGAAATCTTAACTATTTTAATAAACTTGTCTTTACGTCCCATGATGGGAGAGGGTTTATAAAATTCTTTGTTTACCTGAGAGGAGGGTAAATCTATATTTTTTAAATTATCTTCTTTAATTAAACAATAATGTCAAACCTTATTTATGTAATTACATATATTTATTACCACCCAATTATTTGCATTACTGAGGAGTCCTAGAGAAGAGCATCATTTTAGGGAACATCTTGAATCTCAGCTGAAAGTATGAAAAAGACTATTTTCAGAAATACTTTTTTTACTTCCACTGAGCTTTTACACTAATGCCTTTTCAGGCTCTGAAAATACTCTGATATCAGTACTACTGCTGATTTATACATGAGCAAGCAGTGAGTAAAAATCTATAAACCACTAGTTTGTAAGTGAGGAAGCTAGTCCTGCTTTGGGTACTGCCTTCACCCGAGGTGTTTGTGTACGTTGGCCAGGAAGGTGATAAAGTCTGTATCTCACTGAAATCCTCGAGGCAGAACCTGTTCTGCCCTTTACCACAGCATTGCCTTCCATACCAGTTATATCCAGTTTCTGTAGCTCTGCCGTCCTTTCACATTCTTTTCATAACCAGTTTTGTTTGTGTAGAAGTCTTTTTCAATTGCTAAATTTTGCAGTTCACCTGTTTATCCTTCTGAACTTCAATTCAAAGTATTTATAGCATTTTTTTGCACATACCTTTTCCGAACTTAACTGGAAATCTTAGTGCCACAGTCACTTGACAGACATTGTCTGTGATGCTAACTTCTTCCTTAACTAAGTTCTCCGTAGCTTGTCTCCACTTCTTTTGATGTGTAGGTATATTTAGTTTGTCTAACAGATGTTTTTCTTCAGCAGAGTACTCTTCATCCTGTTTTATCATGTATGAAAGGTCAGCTCCAAACATTTCTTTGGAGCTTCAACTCCAAACAATTCATTAAAGCACTGTTAACTTTCATATGCCAGCAGTCTGCATCGACATCATGTAATATTTCCATTCCCCAAAGTGCTTCTCTAATATTTTCGAAATCATCTTCATACTGATCTTGGTGCATTAGTGCACTGAAGCTTGAAATAAATGCTGCTTCATGCTTTCAGTAATTCTGAGCCATGAACACAGTTACTGCTAAGGTAGCTGTTTATTGGAAAGTGTGAGTGTAATTGGTGATAAGGCAGGTCATTGTAGTGAAATAAGAAGAAGAGCTCATACTGAATATAGAATACTGGAAGACACTTACTCTGACATTTCTAGGATGGCCTGTACTTCTGAAGCTAAGAACATGAAGCCTGTTCAGCTGTAAAACTTCAGGGTAGGGAGCTGGATGTGTAAATTTTTTCCTCTGGAAATACACTGAGAAAAGTAACATTTTAAACTTCTTAGTATTTGAGGAATATTCTGTCTGAGTACAGAGCATACAGTTAATATCTATATGTGGCAATCTTCAGAAGTATTAGTATCTAAGGATAACAATCTCATGCAGCAGTGAGGAAAATGTGGGATACAACAATACATTCCTTAATGACTGCGTCAACTCATTTTGTGTTTTATTATGAAGTACTTCTTCCTGTCTGATCACAGTCTGAAGCAGCACAGTTCTGCAAAGACATAATGCATATTTACCACTGGACTCCTGCCACTTTTCCATTCTGGCAGTCAGATGAGTTTGGGAGAGAAAAGCTGTGTAAGGCAGGTGTTTGTAGCTGTCTGTAGACTTGCAAAATGGTCTTTAAAAAAATATTTTCAGAATTGTATTGAATACAAATTCCTATACAGTTCAAAGCCACAGAAAGAGAAAGTAATAGATTACCAAATTTGGCAGTGCCAAATTTTGTCATATTTTAAAAATAGGGAGTGAGTTTACAGTGAACAGCTCTGCTAAAAGATCTGCATTACAGCCTGCAGAAAATACTTTTAATTTGCATACAAATGTAGTCCATGCAGAGACACTGGCACTTCAAAAAAAAAAAATTTGTATGTTAAAGGGTAGTCTCATATGTTCAGTTATTTTTTTTGCTAAACCATGTAGAATTGTCATGTTGACATCCAGTTAGGAGATCTTTGAGTGATTGTGTTTTCTTCTACACTGAAATTCGTAATTTCATTTGCAAAGAACGCTCTCTCAGGGTAAATTAGGGGAAATTCCTGATGTGGCTGTTTGTTACATGCACAGAGTACTTCTAAAGGTCTGCCTTGAGGTGTTCTGCAGTGTGGACGGATCTGTAGGTGATAAATGATAACGAGTAATAGCTGATCAGTTACGTAAAGGCGTTCATACAAGTGACTGCAGATTTCAGGGGGTTTTCTGGGGTTCTTCTTTACACCAGAGAAAAATTATTGCCTTCATACAACTTCAGGTAGAAACAGTTATTAATGGGAATTGTTTCTGTTTCACTCCAACAGGTGGAGGTAAAGCCATACGTGTTGGATGACCAGATGTGTGACGAGTGCCAGGGTGCGCGGTGCGGTGGGAAGTTTGCTCCTTTCTTTTGTGCCAATGTCACTTGCCTGCAGTATTACTGTGAGTTTTGTTGGGCAAATATCCACTCCCGTGCAGGACGTGAATTCCATAAGCCATTGGTAAAGGAGGGGGCTGACCGCCCACGTCAGATCCACTTCCGCTGGAATTAAACATGGTGAACCAGCATCTACAGAAGGAGAGAAGGGTGCATGTGGCTTACTGTGTTTGAAGATACTGACATGCAGAAGAAATAAGTGCATTCTTCTGCTTTTCACCCCAGCTATCAATACATGCATCTTTATCAGCAGCCAAAACACTACAAGCCTCTTGTTTTTCACCAAAACCCTACATCTCAGGCTTACTAATTTTTGTGATATTTTCATGTTAAAATAAAATGTTTTTTTGTATTTTCTCCAAGTTATTTTTATATGTAAAGTTAAAACTAGATATGAGAATGTTTTTGCGTAGGGGCACACAGTCTGCTGCTATATTTAGTGGGTGAAGCGTGCACTTATTTCTAAACATGGGTTTTTAACTTCAAGATCTGCCCCAGTAATTTACCAAAGGTAGCAAAATAGTGAAGATGGAATATGTCTGCTACAAAAGCTTATTTTTATTGTTGTTGCTATTTTCAGTGTATACATAAACTAAAAATTAGGGTTGATTTTTTGCTCTCCATTTTGACTTGCAAGAAATAATACCTCAAGATAATCTGATTTATTAGCTATTTTTAAACATTTTTAATCACAAGCTGTATTAGCTTTGCTGCTATATAGGTGTTATGTGTAATGCCACCTATTAATACGGGATTGAAACGTTTAAGACACACTGCATTACAGATTAAATGCAGGCAGCACAATATGGCCTAAACTGCCATAGTTTTAGAATGTGAAAAATTGCATGTTTACTTACCTGTATACACCATATGCATGCACTAGAACTATTAATTAACAAGAGGTGAGTTATTGCAAATGTTCAAAAAAAGGCTCTCTTGAAACTAGGTAGCATGAGCAAATTTACAAAATTTCTTACAAAAAACAAACTTGCATGCATTATTGTGACTGAAGTAAAAAAATGTCCTACATGTGTACAATATGCAAATTAGTTTTAGACTAGAAAGTGCAGCCATTTTGTGACCTGGTCAGTAGTGGAATTCAATTTTATGCAGACTGGATGTAATATTGTAATCCCTGTGCAATTTTGTGATGTGTGCTTCTACTTAATGTGGCGTGATGTAGTATAGATACAGGTTTGAGTAAAAAGCTAGCATTTAAAAAGTTCTTTTAAGCCCCCTTGATTGTTCATGGTTAAGATTTCCTCTACAAACCAAAGATGGCCAGCACACTGCTAACCAGTCACCAAATGTGAAACCCATGACAAATGCATACAAAAATAGACATATATGAGAATG